CCCCAAAACCCCAAAACCCCAAAACCCCTCATGTTAAATATTTTCCAAAGATTATAACCATCAAGCTACTTAAACTTAAAAGGCTTTGGATTAGGCTTGAATTCGAGAACTTTCTTCAAAGACAACTTCTCCAACAAATCTTGTTTCTGAGCTGCAGAATATGGACCCAATCCCGGCTAAAATGGTTATCGTGAAGGCTTACATCAAATTGATATTCCTTCACCTTCAATTGAATCTCTGATGGAATTTGGACACTAGGTATAAACTCAGATGCTTACCGAATCACAGATTCTTCACTTTCTCTAGGACTTTCTTGGGAATAGCCTTGGTCTGTACAAATTTAGCCTAACAAGTACCGAAAATGCCTTGGTCAATGTCAAGATCTGTGGGTTGGGCCACATTCTTGATTTCAACCTTGATCATCTCATCGTTCTCATCCTTCATTTTGATATATTTGCCTACAAATAAAGCTTGAGCGTACTAATGTCACTCTGAGGTCCATAATTGTAGTCCTTGAACTCAATATCTGCATTTTTCTTGTTCTTCTCATCTGCTTTGGACAACATACTAGAGACGCTGCCTGAGAGATACTCAAAATAATCCTCGAGCCTTGGCTGATCAAGTTGGGGACCTAAAGTAAGCAGCTGGGGTACCTTTCTTCTTCTGCCCAAATCTTTCAGTCAGCAAGTTAGACTTGCCAATATCCTTGCTATTTCTCTTACTCATGATTCCAGAGTCATCAGCATGTTTTAGCAATGAGTGATTAAAATTAGGAACAGAGCTTTTCTTTTGCAGCCCATAATGCTTACAAATCTTGTGGCTTCGTTTCGTGTCCACAATTATGCCATCCAGATGATGCCTCATATGCTGAAAATTTACCTGTAAACTTACGCTGTAATTAAAGCGTGGCTCTATCAAATTAAGCCTTTTATCATCCTATAAATCCATTAGAAGCTAGTGGCTTACAAACTTCTTATTAATATCAGGGAACTTGATAGAGTTATCAATGTTCTTCTTGTTCTTTTTCTGAAACTTCTTAAGAGCTTTCTCACTCTTCTTTGGTACTCTGAAGACCCTTCTCCTATAAAGAGTTAGCTGCACATATTCAGTGGCAAATCCATGAGAAGCAGGAATAGACCATCTAACAATAATAAAACCCATGCTGCTTATCACCTCTTCAACAAATCACGCTCTAACCTAAGTCTTTTAACTATCGATCCTATACAAATCCAAAAATACAGTATCATTCCAAAACATCACTATCATACAATCCCAGCTCTCTACTCTACCCCCACTATAAATTCCTTCAACTCTCCCCTCCCCTAACAAAAACCCAGCACACTTGCTCTAGCACAAGTGGCCCTTCCTCCATAGAAATTCCTGAAGCCAGCTAACACTCTGGTCATAATACTACTTTATGGAAATGTGTGCATCTCCTACCCAAACCAATTCAACTAAGAGAAGACTCCATCCGTCAGGATCCATCCACTTTGCCACAGTAGCTAATGGGATGATTAAACACGCCTATCACTTGAGTTTCAACTCTCTGAAAGACTCTAATAATTCTTCCTTAAAACCTTTACTACATATGATTATATAATCCATGATGAATTTGGTCTAACTAGCAGCTCCAAGATCATTGGGATATTTCCGCAGGGCCATGGCTCTCCAAAAAATAATCGGCTTTAGTAAAGCCAGACTCGCAGACTACTTACCCTTGTTTGATACGATCAGGAGTGGTCATCCTCGAATCGAACTGTTTGGGTAGCCCAAGCATTTCTTCCACAGACTTGGAATGACGATTCTTCTTGCGTCTCTTCTTGGACTTCTTGCCTGTCTTCTTAATTTTATTAAATTATTTCCATTGCTTTTTGTTCTAGAGTGAGGAGAGAGCTTACTGTTACCAGTCTTTAGTTCGAAAAGTAACTCGATCCTTTGGATTAAGGGATTATGGATTTCGGGGACAGCTCTCTTTGATGTATATTCCATTTATAAAGTAGGAGATGGGTATTTTATTTTTTCAATAATAATTTTTAAGATTGGGGTTTTGGGGTTTTGGGGTTTTGGGGTTTTGGGG